TCTTGTGATTTCCGATTTAAGTCGAGATAGATATTGATTGTAGGATCTTGACATAATGTAGGTGTCTAGAGGTGTTGACCTTGCCTCATTTCGAGATTTGTGACTGTGAACTGTTGCTGCTATCAGGTGGGTACATTTATGATGTATTCCATATTTATCGCACTTATCATTTCGTGTAATGTTTCTTTTAAAAAATTTTTGTATGCATGAGAACTCTAGTCTAATTGTCCCGAACGATAGTGTTTTTGACGAATGCATAACAGTGAGAGGTTACCTGCCCGTTGTATCCGAGAGGCGACGCCCTGATCCGTGTGAGTTTCGGGGGGAAAAAACATCTCCACTGTCTCCTGGAAAACATCCATGATCCGTGAGTAGTTCGGGGTGGACTCCCATGATCCGTGAGTAGTTCGGGGTGGGGGAAATTTTCCAGTTACGGCCTTGCCGATGTTTGGTCGGAAGGTTGTTGTATGTACATAGGAGGTTTGCGAATGGGCCGGGTAGGGGGGTTTAGGCTACGAATTCTATGCATACCGGTATTGATATTGTACACTGCGATTACTTGTTTGAAAAATTATTATACGGAATAATCGTGCGATAATGGTGAGCTTGTTGGTTGCTCACCCCCACTATTTTCTTGTTATTTTCTCTCTTCCTTTGTTTTAGGTTGAGACGAGCTGGAGGCGATGGCGTAGGACGAGCGAGATGGTGGTCACTGTTTGATGATATCTTATGCTTCTGCATGAACGTGTTACTTATTTATTTGCTTTCAAATACTTTGGTTTATTTATTTATTCGCCTTCGAACTATGTTTGAATTTCGTTTGAACCTGGATTTCATGCTAGTCGTTCGGGAATGATTTTGAAGTTTATGATTTATGAGATTGTCATTTTCATAGCTCGAGCATGTGTAGGTTCATTGGATTGTTTGATTGAGTGTGTTTATTTGCTGTTGTTAATAAGTAGCGCCCGGTTCTCGTTAAATGGTTTAACTTGGATAAAAAAAAAAAAAAACTCTCTGATTTTTTATTAAATAACTTCGGTAAATTCTTAAAAATAAAACGGGGCGTTACAAAATACTTCAAGAAACCCAAGTCCTTCATATGAAAACAGCGACTCAGATAAGTTTTAAAAGCGGTGATAGAGGTGGGATCACTGCCAGAGACAATAAGATCATCAACATAAACAAAAACATGCAAATGCACAGAACCACGATGCAGGGTAAACAGAGAGTAATCTGAATATGACTGACAAAAATCATATTGCTTTAAAGAGGTAGCCAGC